TTAAATTTCAAATTATTACATGTCTYAATAGGTACCCATAGTGAAAACTGCCTTACAGTTTCTAGAGAGATTTAATTCAATAGATACCTAGTCATTTTTTGATTATCCAATTCAAATACACAGAACTATATAAAGDCACTTAGCCATTTTACTCTTCTTTTTCATTTACCAAATCAATCAATGTGTACATATGTATATATATTACTAATCATTAAATTCCTAGAAATGATACCTTTTTTGACTTCCTCAAGATCCACATTTGATATTGACATATAAACAACATGCTTGGCACCCAACACAAGAGTATTAATAACCTCATTTCTTGAAGGGACTTGGATGAAATCCTGGACACAAAAATAATTTATGAATGGGCAATTTAGCAAACAGTCTTTTCTAGGTAGTATCCTGATGAAAATGTAAGGAGTTATTTTATACAATTCACATGTCRYGACTGTCCCCACAAATAGCACTGGGCCTAGTTGTAGTTTGGATTAAGTATCCACAGGATAAAGTCATAAAACCCATAGTTTTCTATGTCTTTTTTCAGCTGGATAAGGATTTATCCTGTAGATAAGGCCATTAATTAACCCTTCATATCATCAGCACCTGAAGTTTGTTCAAATGACCACCATAGCATAATAACAGGACTTTCTGACATTAGGATTAAATTTACACATTGTTTTGTACCTCTATCTTTTGATGTTCATTCCTTTTTGCACACATATGAGCCATTTCCAAGATCAAGTCACCCTGAATATATGGTAGAGAATATGTTTTCAGAATTTCCATTCATGTAAAGAAGTCAAAACACWAACACTAGAAAATTATGAGGGAATGAAATATTATTTGTGGAAAAATTTGTGATCTTCTTTTACAATTATCTTTTTTTTAAATGAAGTTTAGGTCATAGAAGTTTGTATGCTTATGGTAGCAGGCTATTATGGATTGACACACACAAAAAAACAAGGGGAAAAAACAAATTTCTCCAAGAAAATATAGCATTACAAAAGGATTTCTCACATTTTGTTCATTAACATACCTTTGGTGACATTGTCTTTAGAATACCATCATAGATTACTCCATTGTATGTTTCTAGGGTTACTCGACAACCCTGGGAATAAATGAACAAAACTGATTCACAATTCCATTCACATTCCATTCAAAATTTCCTTATTTTCCCATTTGTTATTTACAAAAGAAAATCACATTCAAAAAACACACAATCAAATATTTWCCTGATTTATGATATAATTAAGTAATTGTGGATAAACAGGAAATTTACTTACAAGTAATTTGGTAATTGTATGAATCAAGATCCGATTTTGATAGACTTCGTTGCCGTTGTGTGACTTAGACTCATCGTTCTGGARAGAGGAACGCGATAACGTTTGCACTATGATTACACATTAAACTAATAAACTGGTTCTCTAAATGGACGTCCAAAATGAAGATATGAATATGCAATAACTTAAAACATCCTTTCCGCACATAAACGGTTACCAAAATCATTATTTTAGTAAGGTAGAAATATGCACTAAAAGATAAGGAAGCTGAAAATGACACTTCAAAATTTGCGTTTGGCCGGTACTTAAATATTTTTTAAAACGCACCTGGCCATATGTATTGACGACGTTGAAASCTCTCCGGGTTCTGTCCCTGTAGATATAATCAAAGATAAAGAATCAATGGATTGAGGCATTGAGGAACACAAATCACAAGAACTGAGGAACATTGCCAATTCTTTGCTACAACCATGTGACACGACTACAACCATGTCCTGTTAAAATTAAAATTTTCATGAAAATAAACACTCCATCGACAGATTTGTATTCCAAACGAGGATCAACTACGTTTTKYCATCTGTAAGAAAATAAGKTTTCTAGTAAAGGACAGAAACTAAAATGGAAAAACTTTTAACACGAAGAGTTGGTGACCAGTGTTGCGACAGCTTCTCAAATACGTCCAAGATCACCAAGCTTCTCGTAAGTGAGAACCCTATTTACCAAAGTATCTCATAAAAAAAGCAATCGTGATGAAAAATATCACAATCTTTATCAATGGATTTGAATGGTAGAGATCCGAGTAGAGAGGAATTTTGGACAATCTGGTCACTAGCAAGCCACAGAAATCCGCCGGTTCWCAACGCAAAGGTTTTTGGTTGCAATCCAACGCTCTTTTACCACATTTACACGATAATCGAGAAGGTAATCGTCCACAAGAGAATCATAAATAAGACTACAATGAATTTTCTATATGWCATACCTGTTGAATCCTCCTCCTGTTCCTCCACGACCTTTATTAACTCGTTTGGTTTGATTCATGATTGAGAAAAGTTAAAACAACTTGACATTCCACGAACTAAAAGACGAGCCAGCATTGTAATAAATAAGAAAAACGCCTGTAGCGTTTGAAGGACAAACCTTCAATCAACGTTTGCGAAGCCTGMTTTCTCTTTAGTTCAGCATCAAGGTGGTAAAGATTTCTTAGGACGACATTTATAAAGTACGTTTGCTTCCTTTTATTTCACTTCTACGTACAAATCCTTCCGATCAACGCGCGTTACCACAACTTTAGAGCTAAAGAGAATTCCGATTTCAATCATAGACGTGTATCGTATAAGAAAATTTATTTCTTAAAAGAGCGACAAATAAATGATATACCCGCACTTATGTTACAAAAATATTATTTTTTTTAGCAATTTTTGCTATTCCAATAAAGAAACGTTTTTTGAAAAGCGTTATTTTTTAATTCTATTAAGGTAGATTTTGTAATTCTCCTTACTATATTGGCCTTTCTCCAGAAATAGTCCCAGAATGCACTTCATCAGACACGCGCCAAATAATTTATAATGGGAGCCCTGTGTATAAAATCACAGGAGCCCCGACACAAAAGAGCGAAAAATCTATTAGAAACAAGTGGAAGAGCGGAGTGCCAAGAAGAGAAATTGAAATCCATGGAAACTGCGTCAATCACAACAAATTTGAAAATGCAAAGAATATGGATTATTAACTTTTTTGCTGCTGAATATTTTTTGTTGCAGAGAGAATGGAATAGCACATGCAAAAGTGCACCTTTTTTGAATGAAAATTGTGTTGTGATATCTTCCCAAATTGAAATAGCTTGTGTGGGGGTTGTAAGAATGGGGAAGGCCAAGCTGGCTTATGTCGGAGTTTCTGACAGGTCTGAAAAGAGCATGTATCACAAAGTGGCAAACTGGGACAGTATTTTAAGACTAAACAGAGACAATATATAAAATACACCATTTTTTTTTAATTCTCTAAATTTCTATATATGTTATTAAATCTCTTCCACGACCCTTAAACAATCTTCAAATGAATGCATACAGTAAAGGACAAAATCTAAATAGACTTCATATTTCACAGCCTCTTTGAGACACTCTAGTAATAATTGTAAGTGTATAGACAGCAGGGAATTTTCATTTATATCAAGTTAATTATAAAGTATTGTTAAGTCTTTTTTTTTTCTCTATCAAAACCCTTCACTCAACACTGGCAATATTTGCATTTAATAAATTTTATAAAAAAGGGTAAAAACTTGTTTGATCAGGTGATATATTTTATAAAATATCTATAATAATTATTGACATTTTGTAATGTCTACAGATGCAACMACAGAGCAGAGAGTCATCTGGGGGACAAAAATAGAATACTTTGCACTAAATTATACATGRAAATACACGATTTGCTCTACTTTTGATAATCAAGAAGAAGTTTATTAGTATTGCCTAACTACTGAATGGCTGTTAGAGACTTCATGATACTGATTGCTGATGGTCTGTAGCTGCTGCCAAAGTGATTCCTAGGACAATACAATAAAWTRYTWGAATTAGTACAATGAAACAATAACCTTTTGTTTTCATTGTTGTTGTTGCTTTGGTTTTCTCTTGCTTTTGGTAACACTGTYRGTGATGTTRTTATGTGTYTTTGCTATGSTTAAAATACTTTTCCTTCTTCATCTTTACTAGTTTTTTATGTTTTTAACATGTTATCCTGACTTGATCCTGTAATCCAATCCCATTCAAATATACTCACCAGTGATTCAAGTAATGGAATAACTGATAAAGATGGTGACGGTCATCAAATCCATCTGCTTTAGGAATCAATTGATGATAAGAACTATAGAATTCKGCACTAAATCCTCCAAAGATACCAGCAATTGCCAACTCAAATTCATGATGTCCATAGAATGAAGCTGGATCAAATATTACTGTGAAAAGAAAACATAGGAAAATATTACTTATATATGATACATTGTAGATAACAGTCATATATTCAAATAATAATTTATTATATTTATTTATTATTTCATTATTTAAAATTACGTGCAATCTCTTTTCTGATACATCTACAGCAAGAGAGCACCAGAGAGAAGCAAGATTGAAAACATGAACTTTGAGAATCATGTTGATCTTGCTCCTCTTTTACTACCAAAACATTTTTTCAGTGTTGAAAGGTTCTTTTCAATAACCAAGTCCATTGTAAAAGATATCCAACACCTCTACAATATTTTGACCGGCAAACAGTATTTGGCAAAAAGAAACTTTTCCTGGAATCATTCACCACCATTACATCTAGTAGTGACATTTACCTGGCCCTGTTTCAATCTCTCCAATGTTTCCTCCCCAAAGATCACCATGAAGTAATGATGGTTTGACATCCAAACCCTCAAAATAATGGGGGATCTTTGCTTTCAATTTTGTCCACAATTCTTTCAGTTCCTGGTCATCATGCTTTAAAACCACAGAGAATGAACATTAATAAAAATAAAAGTCTTGGAATTTTAAAGGGTATCAAAAACACTGGAAAAKTGACATCACATTTTCTTATCTTAGAAACCAGTTCTCAGATGTTCAGATGACAATGAAGACAATTGCACTGAACTATGGTGTAATGTTTGTAATGTTTTTTCATGCAGTACCTCTGAAAGGAGTTTGGAGATCTGAGATTCCAATCTATTGTTAACATARAATGTCTGAAAATTAAAAAAGAACATTGATCAATATGTGTTACCTGGCTTACGTACATGTAGTTATTTATGATAATAAATTCAATGGTTTGTCATACCACCCAGTCATCTGTCCATTCATTTGACATTGATAAATATCCACAGCAAGTAGTTGTATGGAAACCAAACTTGGCAACAGCATCATTGCTACCTTTACTCAACTTGTCTATGTTTTGCAGATGCAACCTAAATAAATAACAGCATTTTGTGTTGATACCAACAGGATTAACACTGATTCTTATCAGAAAATGGGAGATTTGATTGATTGGTGATTGATTGACTGACTATGAATGAATGAATGGATTGATTGATTGGAAAAATTGAGACTAGAGCCGATCAAGACTTTGTGTCTAGGTTGCTACTGCCCTGGGACTTGACTAGATTGAAAAGCTTATTAAAATGTTTTCATTTGGATTGCTAGCAGTTATTACCTAGCAAGCTGTAGTCCTAGTAATGCTTGGAACTGGTGGTTCTTCAAGCTCTTAAGATCCAAGTGTTCCATGACCAGCATTGCTCCTGTGCCTTCTGGGTGATCAAGAACCTTTTCAATAAATTATGACAGACAAATACATCATTTCGCAWTCTCAGCAATGCACTAAGCCAGCTCTGTTGATCCAAAAGTCCCATTCCAAATATGAAAAATAAWTCCMATTSCAGACCCAGACCCACAATGTAGAAAGAATATAGCAACMTGSATTGCACTCCAAWATTTGSTTGGGACAATGAATTGCACAAGAAGGGCAATATCATGAAAGTATCAAATATCCTGAAATTTGAACTTTATACTCCATGTTACGTTATGACTGGACCCAGCCCAGTATGCGTGCAGTAGGGAACTATAGGCAACKCAACATACAATCAAAAAGTTACAAATATTGCAAATAAATTATGCAAATTTRGTWAACTGACAAAACAYCATTTTTCGMTTTTTATTTTAAAGATTGGGTTGACATCTTAATTTTKCGCAAATTCAAGTTTTAAGAAAGATTTAAGGTTAAGCTTTTACTTGCACTAAAAAAKTTTCCTACCTTTATGGGGTTAGGGACACGAACTGTTCCAGATTTCTTGATAGCATCAAGGGAATTGTACTCGCCTTCAAACATCAACCTAGACTATAAAACAAATGACTTTAACTTGCTTAATTCAATTACTAGTGAAAACGAAGGATGCGYGTTTTTTTAGCTCGCGTTACAACTCACTCCATCTTTCTTGTTGGTTTTCACGAAAACGACTCCCAAGTCCGTCTTGAAACTTTGTCCCTCATTGATACATCCTCCACCAAAATGCCCAGTGTACTCAAGCAGGTTTGTGGGCAATTCTGCCTTCAGGAACTTTTCCAAAGCCTCGTTAGATACTACTCTCGCCATAATCTTGCTCGTCCCCTGACTGACTGCACGTACAAATACTTGCACGACTCAGAGGAGCTCTGTGCACGACTTGTATGCTTCAAACAGACAGGAAGCCCAAGATTTAATAAAGGCCTGCAAGAAAATATTGTAAAATCATGCAAAACTCAATGACTTTAAATAGATAACGCTTGGAGATCTTTTTTATGTTAGATAAATACCGTTGCGGTAGTTTTCAGCAGAAKTTTTACGCGAATAATTTAAAGTTTGGGTTCCCTGTGGAGTCTGCGCACAACTGACAAATCTGGCAAATTATCTTTCAAAAAATGGCGCGTGTTTTGTGTGATGGAATTCAAACTTCGRAAACTTTGGAKTTTATGCAATCGACGCTGAAAAGTTGATATTTTATCTTCATTGGAGAAGTAGAATTGTACAATCAGTCGTTGTGCCAAATCTCATTTGKTTTTGTTKAGTTTTGTGGATGTTTTTGCTATGATTTACAACATTCTTGGATTGTGCCGATTGTTGTGCCGATGGCTGGTCATTTACTTCAGTTTTCTCATTTGATTTACATCTCGATTCAAGAAATTGTTGTAGTGTACGCCAGTGCGATTTAGTATGGATAAATCTACTCATATGAAGGACAATATTGTGGGATATCTAAAGGAAAACAGCCCACCATGTCCGCCAAATAGCACAGATGGTTTGTACAACAGCAACAATGAACAGTTTACAGCTGGTCGAAGTATCTCAAATGATTACACGATGAAAATGCTCGAAAAACCAGGTAATACTCATCTCTTATATATTGTGTTTTCATAAACTGTTTTCAAATCTCAAAAGATTGATTGACTTGATAATTTTCGAATTAAGTTATGTTCAAATTCTTCTTTGAATTTGACACAATGCAATTACCGTAAGCATATRCGGTCTGCATTATTCATTCAGTATGTCCATTCACTATATACACATTACAAGTAAAGACTTCGTAAAAAGTAGATTCTTTTCAATGTAAAATTATGGAAATAACTTTTCTATGATAATTTTTGTTTTTTTTTTCAGTCATGCAACATCAGCCTCTTCAAATAAACAACCAATTACCATCCAATAAACAAAATGTTCAACCTGAACTATTAAAAAAGTTCCGTCAACTGCGACAATGGCAACAGCAACAGCAAGAAACCATGTTCAAGAAACAACACCAACAAATGGAAAACATCAAAATGCAACAGGAAMGGTTGCAGACATTGTTTAAAAAAWCTACAGTAGSTTCACCTAATACTGTGTATCAGTCATTGTACCAATGTGAGGCTCAAGAAGAAAAAGAAATGTACAGTAATAAAGAAACAATTCCTGTTGCTTTATCACCTTTATCACCAACAGATGGTTTCCTGAGAACAATGTACAACCAAAATSCACCCATTTATCCTGTAGGCAGTGTCACAGTCTCACCARTTAGAAATCAAAGTTATTCYTATGCAAAGGGATCCCAACATGGAAAAAACAATAGTCCAATACTGATGACACCTATGCATTTTACTACACGTAACTCTTTTTCTTCAACATCTCCTCAAGATAATGTCAGCACCATAACAGCATATAATGCAGCAGACCAACCAAAAGAACATGTTAGTGTTTGTATATGTACTCWTTTTRGTAAAGGGAAATTGTAGTGGCTGTACTGAAAATGTTATGTGTAAATCTGACTAGACAGTTGCCTAGTCCAGCAAATTTTCACTGAAGTGAAGAAGGGAATTTATAAGCAAACAGAGACGGAAGCAAGAACAAATATAGAATGATAAAATAATGAAAACCTTCCATTTGCTTCCATTATTATTCTCTGCTTCTATCCTTGCTTCCTTTAATAGTGAAAATTTGCTCTTTTAGTTTTGAGGCTGATAATTATCACTAGTCAAGTATTTAAAGAGGGACAGAAGCAGTGAAGGAACTRGGGCGCAATGTCTTTCTTTTTCTGCTTCCATCTCTGTAAACATATTTACACATACTTTAATTAATTACTTCACTAGTGAAAATCAAACATAGTATTCAAGCTGTGGTGATTTATTTAGCAATGATTTACCATCTTGTTTATTTGTTGTTGTTCCTTCAGCTTGATAATGGTGCAGAATCAACATATTCACCAGTTCCCAMCAAAGAAATTGAAGTTTTTAACAGTGACAATGAATCAGATTATCATTCTGATACTGAGACAATGAGTGGTGTTTACCCTTTACAAGACGACATTGTGTCTGAAGCAGGTGCCACTGAATTAGAAGAAAATGAAAGGATGGATTCTGAAAGGGAATGTGACTTGGAAAGCACGATTTGTGAAGAACAGAATAACAACTATAAGGTACTTGTCTTCTCTTGAATTCACACCTGAATACAAAAATTTATGAATTCTATTTAGTACACTGTAAAGAACAAAGATAATATAAGGTCACAAAAAATAATTAAACATATATAATCCCTTGAATTTAGAGGGCACAAGCAGAAGCACAGACTGATGAGGACAGACCAATCAATCCTGGTATAGGTGAGTAATGATATTGTAACCACTTTACAGCAATGGCAGTTCATGGAAGCAAGTTAATTATTGACAATATGTAGGTTCCAGTAAAGCTGCAACATTTGAAGAATTCCTTGAAAAAGAATTGAAAAGTGGACCCTCTTATCAACAAGTAAGCTTAGTTGTCTTTGTAGACAATATGCCTTTATGAGTCTTTTTATGGTGATATAGTTTTTTAGATTCAT